TACTTTGCACCCAAGGAGATGAGAGGATCACATTTACTCTTTGTCCTATTCCAAACTGTCACATCACATCTGCAACAAGTAAATTGAGGTTGGATAGCTTAGATTGTTACAGTTCCAATAAAGATGAATGGCTATGCAGAGAAGAAGAAGTTGTTCAGCATTGGAAAACATACCCAGCTTTAATAAGATTTTGTGCCATTGGGGAACCCATGATTCCAAGGCCCAGAAAGCCAATACGTTTGGGAGACTCATCTGCCAGAGACAAAATAGAACTTCAGTTAGAAGGAAGGAAAGATGCATTTGCCAAAATCCAAGAAATGTTTGATCACAGGGTAGCAATTGTTAAACCCCACATCAAGATAAACACTCCAATTTACATAAAGATAGAATCTTGATTGGGCAATTGTGGTTCGCATCCCCAAATTGGGAAGAGAGGAACAAAACTCGAAATGGAAGAAAGAGTGTACCTTTGGGTGTTTGAGAAGAGAAAGCCTTGAAGGAGACGAAGAATTGAGGTTTGGGTGAGAGAGAAGAGGTGCTGAAGCGAGTGGGCAGTGGAGGGCAGAAAGTTGAGCAGTTTGCCATGGCTCTAGTGTTTGAAATTGAGAGGATGCAATTGGATACCACCTTGTCCATCAATACCTTTGCCATTCTCTCCTCTTTTTGTCCTTTTCGCTCTATCGATTGCAGGAAATGGCTCCCCCCTTACTCCCATTCCTATCCTAACCTAACCAGTGGGTTTCTAGTTTCTTTCTTACTCTCCTCTCAAATACGCCTACTGAACCATTGAACTAAACCCGTACAGACATTCTTTCTTTTTAGAGGATGAATGGTGCTTAATTTTTTTTTTTTCACAATCACCGAGAGAACATTAACAAAAATTAAATTTTTAACTTTCTAATACAAAAAATATGATTTACCCAGGAGTTAGATTGAGGATTGTGTTGGCACACTTTAATTAAGTAAAATAAGACAGATAAAGAACAAAATATGATACAAGATAAAATGTCGGACGTAAATACATCATTTGAATCCCAAAAAAGAAAGAAACCCTACACTAACTAAAACACTGCAATCTCATACTTAAATAACTAGAAGAGCTGCCAAAAGGAAAAAAAGAAGGAGAGTGTATTATGCAATCCACAAATGGCAACTTAAAACAGATTTTGTCACTAAACATATTCTAGGACGGTACAATTGCTGCACTCACCCAAAATCATGACACTAATAATACATCCTGAAGAGGTTAGGCAAAACCAAATACGGAACGTCGTCTCAATCAAAATCATATAAACCCCCCACATGAAAATTTTTTAAACAAAGGCTTAAAACACGTAGCCAACAGATGGTCTCACTTCCGGTAAGGATGGAACCTTCCGGCAGCTGCACCGTCATTTCCATAAGCATTGCCCCCGTAACCTTTGGCACCGCCGTATGCTGCAGCATCATTGCCGCTGCTTCCGTGGATTTCGCCCCCATCGTATTCACTGTCACCACCTACGCTGCCATAGCCTTTTGCACCACCGTGCCCTGTATTGGCGTATCCTTTACCAGCACCTGCAGCAGCGTACCCACTCGAACCACCATAATTACCGGGAATTACATAGCTGTTGCCACTGTATCCAGCAGCAGCACCGTACATGGATCCGCCAAATCCATATCCATAACCATACCCGCCATATCCACCATAGAATCCTGCCGCAGAACCCATTCCATAATTCCCAGCGTAGTTTCCGTAAGGACCATAGTTGCCGTATCCATCATAACCACCACCATATCCCTTGCGCATTTTCCCGCCATATCCACTGCCAAAATCCTCTGCATCACCATTCACATTGCCATATGAGTGCATGTTACTGTTGCCCCGATGCATCCTGCCTTCACTTGCACGATCTCCACCAGCTCTCTTTGGTTCAGCCCTCTTAATTTCAACCTGAGACAAGTATAAAAGTGTAAACTTCATTTCCTTCCCACAAAAGTCGAAGACATCACTACCAACAACAGTATGAGATGACTCACTTGTTTTCCATTAAGTTCGTGCATGCGGCCATCAGATAGAACCTTCTGAACAGCATCTTCATTATCAAAAGTTACAAAGCCAAAGCCTCGGGACCGACCAGTGTTGTGATCCAGCATAATTTGATGCTCCACAACACTTCCATAGGAAGAGAAGTATTCCTTCAATTCATCTGCAATAATTCAATTTGGATATAAAAATATGCTTTAAATTGCAGATATTGAAGAAAATATAAATACCTGCCATGCACCTACCTTCGGTAAGAGTTGGTGGAATACCACCAACAAATATTTTTTTTGTTTTTGACACTCTTCTGAATGGAGTGTCCTCCCTAGGTACTGTCCTCTTCACTTCCACCTGAGTAAAAAATAAGCATATGTTATTGTGTGTGAGTGATAACCTCTAATGAAAGGAGAAGTCATAAAAAAAAAAAAAAAAAAAAATTGGATGCTATGTGTTACTTATCAAAGACAATCCTACCACTCTGCCATCAATTACATGTTCTTCCTGTAACACCCGATTTGCAACTTCTGGATCAGCAAATGTAATGAATCCAAAACCTCGTGGTCGTCCAGAGACCTTATCCATCATTATTACAGAATCAATTACTTCTCCGTACTTGCTGAAATACCTGTTAAAACATTCTGGAAAAGAGAATACCAAATACAAGTAAGACTTCAGAAAGGAGTGTGTTGTACATATAGGATCCTCATCCTTACATCTAATAAATATGACCAAAGAGCAATTTGCAAGAATATGCCACTATTATAATAAGAGACAGAGTACTCATCCACCCACCAAACCTCAAAGGCTGTTAAAATGCATGCAAATAAATACAAATTTCTATGCCCATATGTGCTTGCCCAGTACAAGAATAGTCATATATTTTTCTGTTGACTGTTTCTATCCAATTCCTCCTTATCAATAAATTTGAAAATCAGTTTAAGCAAAATCTTATATAACGGTTAGAATACAGAACATAAGGGGGAAAAAACACAAGGTTTCTGTATGGTACAAAACCAAGCCCACCTATCCCTTAGATAAAAGCAATAACAGCTTCTTGAATCTTGACCAATAAACTCATAATCTAAAATGAATTCACACTAACTTCAATAGTTAAGCATATTAGGCTATTACCCAAGTTACATCAATGTAGTATGCAAGCACTTTGAATCTGAACACTAACTAGGTATGTAAAAAAGTTGCAGTCTTAAAACAACAACCAAAAAGGTTGCAAGTAGTATTGCTCTATTAGATGTATGTAATGTAATTACAGTAAAAAGCACCCAGAAGAAGGAAAAGAATAAGAAGAAGGAGAAGAAAGCAAATTTTCATAATCTACTTTAACAAATGTATACCCAAAAAATGTACCACCTCTAAACTGTTTCCAGTGGTTTGAAGGTGGCAACAGGCTATACTAACATTTAACTACAAGAAATTTTAACTTTAGAGTAGAGCAAAGGATAGAGTAAAATTGTTTCTAAATAAACAATGAATTTAATTCTGCATTTACACATACTATAACAAAACAAAACAAGAAAATTAGTATGGATAGAAATACCTTCAGATGTCTCCCAAGCAATGCCTCCAACAAATAGCTTTCTATCACACAAGAAAAACCATCAGTAATCGTAAAGCTCATCATACGGTCCTCATATTTGTTCGTGAGTGGCAAGTGCAGGAGAAGGGACTCGACATAAATACAATATCTAAACATCAAATCTTTTTGGTACATATATATCTAAAAGAAATCAATGAATAATCCCTCTACTCAAGAATTCGGAAAGAATTCAGAACTAATCAAGCGCGAATTCAATTCCAGAACGAGAAACCGAACCCTACAAGGCAGTGGAGGGGGCTAAACAAGCTAAGAATAATAAGCTACAACAAAACTAACCCTGCCGAAGGAGTAGAATCATCGATTGAATGCTTTAATTCGTGGCCTGCGCTACTACCGTCTAGGCTATGAATGGGCGGTTCTAAATCTCCTCCTCCGCCTCCGCCTCTCGAATACAGCTGCTCTTGTCGGTTTTCTTCCTCATACTGAAGATCACCTTCCCCCCTGTCGCCGCCGTAATAACCGACGTCGTTTTGTTCGGCAACACCGTAATCCATAATTTTCAGACTAAACTCTTTCTCTACCTATCAGACCTGCAAATGAATAGGAGATTATGTTCGACTAAACCTACAACTTTACCTTGGCTGCCAAAATTACTTTCTGTAATCATCTCTTTATGTTGTTTTTTCTTTTTTTGGTGGGTTTTAAACCCTAGAGAAGAGGGAACCCTAGAAAAACCTGAGAAATTTGAGTGCCCTAGCTAGCCTAGCTTTTTTTGCGGTGGAGATGAAGAAGAAGAAATTGCCGCCGCGTTACGGAAACAGGGAGAGATGTTTTGCCGAAACATTTCTACTCGTAAAATACGACAATAGACTCATCTCTAATGGGCCCATGCATTACTGCCCGAATCCGATTCCTTTTATGCCTATTCATTTGGGCCAAGCCCTAAAGCCCAATTCATAATCCATCATAACCATCACGGGTTTCTTTTCCTACTGGACATGGACGGCCCAATTCTGTGGACCCAAAAAAAATATAATTGGAATTGATATTCTCCGGACCCATTATACTTTGTTTATACTTTATATATATATATAGACGGCAATGTTACATTAGTAACCATTATCATTCCACCATACTACCACACATGTTAAATACTTTCACCAAAATTCATTACCAATACCAAGTATTTGATATTCATTTCGATTCCGATTCTCATGTGCGAACCAAACACACTCTTATTTGTACTGATCGATATACAATTTTTTCTTTTACTTTAATCTTGATGTATGTTCAACCTCTTCTTTGAGCTAATAAGAAGGTTGTCAAGGCTCGCTGGAGTTATTGTCTTGAATGTATCCAAAAATACTATATATATATGTAATGAAATGAGTACATGCTTTCTTCATCATCAATGTTTATATTATTACTTGCATAATAAGTTACATTAAAAATACTATATATATATATGTAATGAAATGAGTACATGCTTTCTTCATCATCAATCTTTATATTATTACTTGCATAATAAGTTACATTAAAAATAACGCACGACATACAAATGTAATCATCACCAGACCGACAAGCTAATTTATTTATTTATATGATATATCCTTAGTAACATTAATATTGAGGATGGAGTCAATTGATGGTTGGTTTTTTCATGGACCAAGCAGTCAATTTGGAGAGCTTAATGCTGTGGACTCCATTATTGAATGCATACAAGTGTGCCTTCTCACCAATAGCCTTTGTGGGATAAACCCTTGAAGTAATGCAAACCTTTCCTTTTGCTCCAAAGCTCTCCACTATGGAGTGGTCAATCTGCAACATCAAAACACTCATAATCAAACAACCTTAACTAATATAATGCTCCTTAATTTCAGATCAGTGAAGAGAGAGAGAGAAAGAGAGAGAGAATTACCAAGATCCTGAGTGATAATTCTTCTTGCATAGGATTCACATCCACAAATGCACCATAACTGGTCTTATCTGTCTTCTTGTCTAGTGAAGACCTACATGACATGCCAAACACAATTATATACAATTACATACATGAACACGAAAAAAGGGGACAACCCTAGCCGAGTGGGTCAAGCTATTAACTTGGTAACCACAATATTACAAGTTCGATCCCAGTCAGAACAGCCTATTGACTTTCTTGATTTGGGTCAGTTAACTATAGAAAACTCAGACTAATTTACCTCCTTGTGATCCTGGATTAGGGTTACAAGGCAGGATTTTCCTATTGCATATTATCAGAAAGTGGCGGGTGGGTTTTGGGTTTCGCATCTTATCACTCAAAAAGAACACGACAAAAGTGATATGTATAGACCTGGTTTGATCACTGCACATGAGCACGACAGGATTATTGTTGTTTCCCATGAAGACTCTGAAGAACACTGCTGTGTATTCTTGCCTGTTTTCTGAAGCCAAAACCTTCAACCCAAATGGCCCTATTCCTCCTCGTACTGATGCCCCCTTCTGGCTGCACAACACTTGAGGGTCTGTCGTCCATCTTTCCTCCATTTTTTCTGCCTTCCCAAACTCCATTATCTTAAACGTAACCTCCATATCCGCCTGTCATACACATAAATCTTGTAATATATATACAGTTCTATAATTAATGATTAGAATTATACCTGAGCGGCACTGATTCCTGAAACTTCAGATACAGATCCTTTCTTGAGCATCGTACTGGGCATCTCAACCTTATTTGAACGCAGCTTTTCGAGTTCTTGAACTGGCCATTGAACCAGCTGTTTTCTAGTTTTATCAAGCCAAACAGTTCTTGGAATTCCCTGAAAAAAAAAAAAAAAGATTGTAAATTTATATAGTCCGCTGGTAATTAAACAGACTGTTGGCTTGGTAACAACAAAATCTCTAGTAGTGGTTACGGGTTTCTCTTGTCATTCAAAAAAAAATATCAGAATAAAAGATTACCTGAACTCCAGACCAACCTTGTTTAACATATTCAGTATCGATCAAGGATTCATTAATCCAACCCCACAGAATTCTCCTTCTCTTTAAGCTGTCATAAAACGTCTTGGAGGCATAAAACTTGCCATAATCATATCTTAACCCGGAGTCGTTATCCACGGATCCCTTATCCGGGATATACTTATCCCTGACATGATCGTACGTTCCAATCGTGTAGTAATCATGCCTAGACTCATCCAGGCTAATTTTCAGTACATGTTTGATCTTGGAACCAACTAAGGAAGTGTCCAGGCCGTTTGGGCTAGTAGAAACGGGATAAAAGTCAGGACACTCCCACATTCCTGAACCTTCACCTGAATGAAGAGGGTGTTTGGCTTGGACCCAGCGAACGAAATCCTTACTCCTGTACAGGATAGCTAATCCCCGGCGGCCAACTTTGCTCCCTACTAGGATTCTCCAGTTCCCGTCAGGGCCTCGCCAGGCGGTGGTGGGGTCCCTAAACGACGTAGCATTGATCTTGTTGTAATGGTTTGGCGCGATTAATGGATTCCGGGGCGATTTTACCCATTCTTGGAGGTACGGGTCGGATGGGTTTCTGGGCACGGCCAAGTTCTGGACCTGCCGGTTTCTTGAATCCACGCCGGTGTAGAGCAACGCCGGCATGTTGTTCGGAAGAATCGTCGCCGAGCCGGACCATGCACCGTTGATATCGGCCGCCGGCTGGGATGGAGAGAGTGCAGGGATATGAGCTCTCCAGTTAACTAGGTCTTTTGAAGTAGAGTGTCCCCATGATATCTTGCCAAAACTTGCACCTTTTGGGTTGTATTGGTAGAAGAAATGGTACACTCCTTTATAAACCATAGGCCCTAAAAAAACACACCAAAATGATGTAAACAAGTAAGTGCAAAATAACTCTGATCTATCTGCCTTTCAATAACTACAAAAACTAACTCACCATTTGGATCTGCAAATGTATAATACATCGGAGTTTTCAGTTGACAAAGGAACGCGCATGTGGCACATTACATGCATAAAAGGAAACATCTTCCATTAGCAATGTTATGGTATAAGTGCAAGGAAAGACAAGAAAAACAATATATATTTTGATTTACAGGAAACCCTAAACAGTTGCAACCCGAAGGTGTGTTACTGTGGGTGAAACCCGTCTTGTAAGCTCAGCCAACAAAGTCTCAAAATGATGTAAATCAGTTTAGGTTACCCAAAGCTGACTGACCCAATTAGATATTAATTATTCCTAGGTTTAGATGACAAATAGATCAATTACCGTTCATCCAGTTCCTAGGAGGTTGGAAATGAAAAGAGGTTCTATAAGTATGGTTGGGGTAAGGTGGTTGGAGAGCTTCAAGGTTTTGTAGAACAATGTGTGAGGCTTGGGTTTCAACACCTCCATAGAGTACTAACAAGAGGAAAGAAATGGATAATAGCCAAAGGCTATATGTATCACCCATGTTTATGTAGTTAGTATAATAGCTATGTGAGGGGGTGATGATGAAGAGAATGCAACTTCTTGGTCCTCTATTTATAGCTAGCTAGTCTAGGCAAGTGAATGCCTTAGCTAGGTGACTAGGTCAGGCTTTCAAGAGTCAAAAATGGCTAACAAATTAAAGTATGTAACAAGTCATAAAAACAAAATAATTAACTTTGAGTAAATATATATACATATTTCATATTTCTAGTTGATAAGATTTTGAACTACTTCAAGATTAACCGTATTAAGCAAAGGGCAAAAGATAGAAGTAATTATACACATGCTCTTTTTTTTTTTTTAGAATACACATACTCTTTACTTCTTTAGCTATCATGCGTGACAATTGGTGAATAGTGAAGAAAGAGTGATTGGAGATATATAATAATTATAGTTCTAGCTTGTGAACATTAATAAATTTGAGTGGCTCATGTGAGACCGCTAGGCTTATCCGTGAGATAGGTCAGGTCAAGATTGAAATGTAATATTTATACTAAAAAATAATACTAGTTAGGAATAAAGTGTTTGTTATTCATAAGGGAAAATATAATATTTTTACATCAAAATGTAACAATATTACTCATAACTGTCATAAGTACTAACAAACGTTTTATTCATTATTAGTATTACATTTACTAGTATAAGTATTACATTTTCATCTTGATTTGACATATCTCACAGAGTCACGGATAAGAATCTGTGTCACGAACTCACACAAATTTTTACCATAAAATTTTGGCTTTCAAGTTATAACATGAATTTACTAGAACTAGCTCTAATTTTCCTACTTAGGAGGTTGTGGTGTAAGCGCACCGTGGGTTCTTGAGGTAAGGTTCTAAATAAAGAGCAAATTAGGGTTCATCTTGTATGTTGAATTTATGTACATAAAAATAGTATTGCACGTACACGAAAAGACACCAAAAAATAGTGAATTTATTTTCCTACAATCAGGAATGACAATTGGTCCAACGTAACTCTATCGATTTCAGACCAATCCTAGCGAGTTGTCTAGCTTATCAGACTGAATTTTTAACATATTAATTTGTTTCCTTAACCCTAAACTTCCGTGTTTATCACTTTATCGAACAGACTCAAATAAATTTGTTGACATTTTAAAATTAAAATTATAAACTTTAATTTTGATATTAATAAATTAACGAATGTATACCAATAAATATAAATTTATATATCATTTTATTAATAGAAAATGATCAGATAGACCTTCAAACTATATGTAAAAATGTTCAAATTAGACACCTCTCAACTCCTCAATTTGATACAGTTTAGCAAATAGTTCGTCAAATTTATGCAATTAGGTCAATTGAACATTAAACTCAAGGTGGTAGTTGATCAAATGCGCTGGTGTGGATACTTTTTCAAAAAAAAAAAAAAAAATTATAAAAATAAAAATACAACTAGTTTGGTTCGTATCAATGGGTTCCAACTAGATTGAATATAATAATGAACAAAATAAAATTAATAATGTAATATAATCAAATGTAAAATGATATAATTAAAGTTAAAATATCATCGCAATCCAAACTACAACTAACATTATTTCAGAGATTTTTTGTCTAACCACAAATTTCTTCACAGTCACACATGAACTTAATCCAATTCTATTCGTATCAAAAGAACAAAGGCTTGCACCGTCTTATACATGTACCAAATGAGAGGTCACAAGTTCGAATCTCAGTGTGACATTGACTCTTTATGCTTCAATAAGTTAGAAAGTATGTATGAACAGATACTAGTATTGTAATAAAGTCAGTAATACTATTAAAAAAACAAAAAAAACTATCATAGATTTGATGCAGCATATAATGGTGTGCGTGCGTACCTTTGTATTGGAGGTACGGCATCCGTCATTTCCATTGAAGGTGGAAACTGGGAAGAGAACAACTCATCAATATATATGGCAGTATAGCAACCACTATATATGTTTTTCACATTCGAAGAAAGTTTGTTTTTTGTGTGTTTGATAATATTATTGTTACTATTAGAGTAGAAGGAAAATACACATGTTTTTCCATCTTCTTTTGTTATTTTATGATTCTTAACGACACACACCCTATTTTCATGCAAAAACTTTATTATTGTAATGATCGCTATTTAGATGTGCATTTTGGGTGAAGCTGCAATAATGTCTTATAACTTTAGCCGGCAAAAGATTGCAAGGAGGTTAACCAACTTAAGTTGCACATATCGATTCAAACCAAGAAAATTAATAGGTGATTTCTTTAGGGATTTAAGTTCTTTTGCTAAAATTTCCGTCAAACAAATCAAAACCTAATATTTTTTGGGATAACGAGAAAAACCTGCAATTATTACTGAGATTTTTTCTCTTGTCTAATTCATGCCTTCCCATGTATTTTGTTTTGTTTTTGTTTTTTTTTGTTTTTTTTTTGTTTTTTTTTTTGTTTTTGTTTTTTTTTTTTTTTTGATGTTTCTGTGTAAGCTCTATTATATTCCCTTTGTCTGATCGATATTGTGATTCATCTTAGCTTTATGTTTGGGATTCTTCTGTTTTGTTTTGTTTGTTTTTATTTATTTATTTATTTATTTTTAAGTTGTTAATTTTGAGATAGAAGTACGGAGTATTTCCGTTTTGATTGACAAAATTAAATGAAAGTTAACTCCATGATATGTTTGGTTTCTTAGTTTGTATCTGAGTTCCACTTCCTATGCAATTGTTACATCATGCTTATCAAAAAGTTATTTTTTAGAGTAAATATCCAAAATGGTCCATCGACTATAGCTAAATTCACAAATTGGTCATCGACTTTCAATTTCAACCAATTAAGTCCTTAACTTTGTAATTTTAACACAATTTGATCCTCTATCTATTTGACCGTTTGTTGACTGTGATTTTTGAGGATATATATGTAATTTCATGATTCATCGTCAATTTTTTAAGGTTATGGTTGCATTTCCAGACCGCACTATTACATTTGAATCCACTGTCGAAAGCAATCTACCAAATCCGGTCGCCTTTCTTCATCCTCCCTTTGGATTCAATGTAGTTGAGTTCATACCAGAGCGAAGAAGACGACGTGTTTCCGAACCAGTGCAACGTCATCCTGGAGGCCTCCACGTGCTCCGACGAGAGTTGAAGGTTCTTTTGAAGATCGTCGATCACGGTCAACAAACGATCAAATAGATGGAGGACCAAATCGTGTCAAAATTACAAAGTTGAGGACTTAATTGGTTGAAATTGAAAGTCGAGGACCAATTTGTGAATTTAGCTATAGTCGAGGGACCATTTTGAGTATTTACTCTATTTTTTATTATGAACAAACATTGAAATATGAATCTTGTATGTAAATTCATTTCGCATGGACAGCTCAACTGGTCATAGAGATAAAAGTTAGAAAGAATAACCAGGATCGTGGTTTCATGTTGTTAACTTCAGTTACCATGATTTACATCTTCCCAGACAATCGAACGAGCTCGATCTACCCACTTGACCACCCATTTTGATGCAAGGGGGAATGAACCTTGTTTGACTTCTCCCCAACCCTTCCTTCTACATGCGCCCAAAACATATGCATTATTGAATGATGATTGTGCAAACAATGCAAAGTCCGTTACATACCCAAGTTTAGCAAGTTAGGCTGTAACCAACATTGTTGAATGCTGCCACTTGGTAGCTAATAGGTGCGGTGCTGAGTGTACAAATCAGTAAACCCTCCATTATCACACACCTGCTGTGAAGAATTATGTTGAAGCCTATGCTTTTGCATCACAGATAAATACAGTCTTCAGCAATGTCAGCCCTTTGTGAAAGCCATGTGCTTACCTGAAATGGCTTCCACTAAGGATATTCCCTATTTCCCTGTTCAAGTAAAGAAATTACCAAACTCCTCAGTGGCAACTCCTTCTTGACAGGGCTCATCTCTGGAAAGGCTCTCCCTTTGGTTTTTTCACAATCGGATGTGACGAAGATCTGCAATACGAAAAGCGGGTGCTGGGGACCTGACACACTCGTTGTATAATCGTCTCAATTCAAAGTCTAAGCTGACAATCCTAGTATGATCCGTCTCAATTGTGAGACGGTACGTTTATATTTTATATATTATATATTCAACATAATAGTTGTGTTGTCCAACCAAACACAAAACACAGTAGCAGGCCTTTCATCTGTTTTGGGCCTGACTGATGGTTTATGGATACATCTTGATCAAAGTTGGACCAATCTGATTCACTTTCTGAACAGGCCTTGCTCATCCTTAGGTCACATAAAAGTGGGCTTTTCATTTTAGGATTTGATGCATTCCGCCCATTGTTACAAATATCCCGTCTAGGCATCAATTAATCAGCGTTAGGCGCTGGCTAGTCGTCTAGCGTATCATCATAATCGGTGGTCTAGGCAGCTAGCGACAAGGCCTCCTAAGCACTGACTAGGCCGCAATCGACTAGTCAGTCGATTAGCTACTGTGTTTTGACTAGGCCGTCTAGGCACGGACTAAGTCGCCTAGTCCAGCCAAACACAAAACATAGTGAAAGTTTTGTAATAGTTGTTTCTGGTGTCAATAATCCATTCATTTTACATAATCTGAAGCCCAAATATCTATTCTTTCTACACAGACACAAGACACAGAGACTGCCTGTTTCTGGTTTTTTTCTTTGTTGCTTTTCTTTAACTTATGCAGCAACCTAGGAAGCAACCTTGGAAGGGAATGGGAAATGGTTGTCGGAGAGCAGAGAAAGCTGAAACTGATGAGACTGTGCAGTGTATGGTAAATGACAAGCTAAGTCCATTATTGGCTTCCAAAGGTGACAAGTTGCAGACTTGTAGTCAACATCATGTAATACTGGTAATCCAGTTCTTGAATGGTTCAAGTGGATTGCTGGAGTTTGCAGTTTAATGTGCCCAAATTCTCCCACTTGTGAACAAAAAACTGTGATTACTGCCCCGAAAGAAGTAGACGAATAGATAGGGAATGACAAGCTTGATTGTCAACACCTTCTTTATTGAATACCAATCCTGACAGATAATGTCAAAGTGATCTGTCCAT